TTTACCTATACTGTTATATTTTAATTGAGATTCTTTTAGGCAGCATATAGTTGCATCATGTTTTTTGATCCACTCTGCCAATCTCTGTCTTTTAATTGATGTATTTAGGCAATTTACATTTAATGTAATTAGTGTAATTATCGATATGTTAGGGCTTAAGTCTGCCTTTTGTTTTTTGTTTTCTGTTTATTCTGGTTTTTGCTTCTCTGTTTTATATTTCTTGCCTTCTCATGGGTTACTCAAACATTTTTAGAATATTTTTTGATTTATCTCTGGTGGTTTTTTTCTTTCTGGTGTTTTTTATTAGATCTCATTGTATAGTGTTTTTAGTAGTTGCTCTAGGGATTACATTATATATACAAGACTTTTCACAGTTTACTGGTCTGGACATTTTATCAGTTCATGTGAAGTGTAGATACTATATTTCCTTTTTTGTCTCTTAACCCTCCCTCTTATAATTGTCTTAAATATTTCCTTTACTTACATTTAGAACTATATCAGATGATATTATAAGTTTTTGCTTCAACCATCAAACATAATTTAGGAAACCCAAGAGAAGAAGGAAAATGTGTCACATTTACCCATACTTGTATTCTTTCCATTGTTCTTTTTCTGAACTAATGTTCCAAGGTTATTTTATTGTTTCTTTTCTGGTTAGAAAACTTCCTTTAGCCAGTCTTTTAGGATGAAGCAAACAAATTTTCCTAGTTTTCCTTCATCTGAGAATGTGTTCATTTGTCCTTCATTCTTGAAACATATTTTCACTGGTAATAGGATTCTGGGTTGATAGTTCTTTTCTTTTTGCACTTGAAAAACATTGTGCCACTTCTTTCTGGCTTTCATGGTTTCCAATGAGAAATCCACTGTCATTCAAATTGTTTTTCACCTATAGTTTACATGTCATTTCTCTCTCGCTGCTTTCAAGATTTTTATTTTGTGTTTATTTTTCAGAAGTTTGATTTTGTTTCTCTGTGTGCATTGGGTCTATCCAGTATGGAGTTTGCTCGGCTTCTTGAATCTATTGTTTTATATGTTTTACCAAATTTGGGAAGTTTTCAGCACCATTTCTTTAAGTACTTTTTCAGTCATGTCCTCTTTCTCCTCTCTTTCCAGGATTCCAATTTAAGACTTTAGTTGGAGTCCCACAGGTCCTTTGAAGCTCTGTTTATTTTTTTCCCCAAGTCTATTTTCTCCTTGTTGTTCACATTGGGTAATTTCTATTGTTTCTTTCAAGTTCGCTGACTCTTCTGTTCCCGCCATTCTGCTGTTGAGCTTTTTATTTTTCTTATTATATTTTTCAGTTCTAAAATTTCCATTTTTTTTTCTTTACATCTTCCACTTCTTTACAGAGATACTCTATTTCTTCAGTAAGACTCTATTTTTTCTCCATTTATTTCAATCCTGTTCATAATTGCTCATTGAAGCACTTTTATAACAGCTGCTTTAAAGCCTTTGTCAGAAAATTCTAACAGTCCAGTCACCTCAGTGTTGGCTCTGTGGATCATTTCTTTTCATTCAAGTTGAGACTTTCCTGGGTTTTGGTATGATGAGTGATTTTCTATTGAAACCAGGACATTTGGAGTATTATGTTATGAGACTCTAGATATTATTGAAACCTTCTGTTTTAGCTGGCTTTTCATGGCAGCAGAAGGGGGTGGGGGGCTGCCTTTTTTATGCCAGGTAGGGGTAGAAATCTCAGTTCCCCGCTTCTTGGCCTCCTGATACCCAGGTGAAGGAAAGGCTCTTCATCACTGCCAGGCAGGAGTGGGGGCTCTGGCTCCCCACCAGGCTTCTGCTGATAACACCCTGGCTGGGAGGGGTAGCAATGCTTGTTATTGCTCCCCATGTGGCTTCTGCTGATACCACAGGGAGAGGATGGCTGCCTTACTGCTGGGTGGTTGTGAAAGTCCTGACTCTCCTCTAGGTCTCTTCTGATACCACCCCGACAGGGAGGGGAAGGGGCACCTTGTTACTGCTGGGTGGGGGGTTGGAGTCCAAGCTCCCCATATGGTCTTCACTGACTGTCACTGTAGGTGAAGTTTTGTTAACCTTGGCAGGGACGAAAGTCCCAGTTCCTTACTTGGCCTTCTCTGAAACCACCTCAGCAGAGGGGTTGGGGTGCATCATTGCATCGTGATGAGGGTGGACATCTAGACTCCCCACTCAGCACTGGCTAGTGGGGATGGGGCCAAAGTTTTTTTCTGTGTTATTTAGCTGGAGTAGAATGGTTGTTTTCTAGAGGCTTTCTGTTTTTCTAGGCTGCTCCTTTCCTGGTCCTTTGGCTAGAAAGAGCGGGCTTTTGTTGGAGATGTTTCTTTCTGTGCCTATTGGTATTTCTGGGTGGCTGGCTTCTTCAGCTCCAAGTCTGGGATATATGAGGCAAGAAGAAAGCCCAGGGAACTCACTACTTCTCCTTCCTTGGGTCCTGAGGTCCCTAGCTGGTCTACCTTCTTCTTTCTACCCTTTCAGAGTCTTCTAGTTTTCTTGTGTTTGTTTTATATATAATACCTGGAGATTTTAGTTGTCCTTAGCAGAGGGACTAGGGAGAAGTATTTCTGCTCCATCTTCCCAGAAGCAAAACTCCACTTGACTTGAAATGTATCATTTAATCAAACACTCAGAACAACTCCACAAGGAGATATTATACCCATTTTGTAGATGAAGAAACTGAGGTTCACATGTCATTCAACCAGTAAGTAGTATAAAGAGGATGGAAGACACTGGGAAGAGTCAATGAAGAGGGAAAAGTAGGGGTAAAATAGCTAACTTCCTTCCTTTCTTTTTCTTGTAGGGTAACCGTATCTTGGCTCTGTAGAGAGGAGCAGAGAAAGGAGTGGGGACATATAACAGAATCCTTTTGATCCCAGGCTGTGGTTCCCCAGCTTCTTCAGCCCTGGCAGGCTTATTCCTGTCTTCCACAGGGAGGCCCTTTCTGGCAGGGGAAGCCCTCACCACCCTTGCCCTTCTCCCACCCTACTCCCTTTCTATTGCCCTGTGCTCTGTTACCTCTCAGGTGCATCAGTGGCTCAGTTTCTGAGTTCTTTTCAGTAATAAACACTTTCCTCCTTAGCAGCACTGTCCATGAAGTACACAAAGAATTCCTCAGTGAAAGCCTGCAGAGAGGCCTGGGTTAGTGGTCCTTCTTTGGGTACCTCAAAGGATGTCCCCTGGCAGGCCCACCGTGAACATTTGTGGCCCGGAGAGAACAATGCAGCCTCTGGTCCAGCTTCCCATTTCAATCCCCAGCTTCACCCTATAGCACAAGGGGCCTTGCATACGTCTAACCCCATCTACGCGACCCCCAGGAACAGCTCTCCCTGGATCCCAGTCTGTCCTGAGGAGGAGGACCTAGGGGAGAGAACCAAGGAGGATCTTAGGGAGCCACTTGCAGGAAGGGCATTCTGGGGGCCTCGTGTAGTCCCGACAAAGAAGGTGCAGGCTCTGTTTGGAGCATCCCCTGGACCCTGTGAGCCGTTAGCTTTGTAGAAAGGCACGCAGTTGGAATGTAGCCCAGATGGGGCCCACAGCCTTTCTATTCAAAGTGTGGTCTGCAGACCAGCAGCATCAGCATCATCAGGGAATTTGTCAGAAATGCAGACTCTCAGGCCTGACCCAGAGCTATTGAACCAGAATCTACATTTTAACAAGATCCCCGGGTGATTCGTGCGAACGTTAGAATTTGAGAAGCCATGCTCTAATGCAGGGGCCCAGAGACCCGAGTATGGAGCAACGTTGCCTTCAGGAGGTGATGGGGCAGGGGTTGCTCTTCTGATGGCCAGTATTTTATAGCCGTTTGGGAGAATATACAGTTTGCCCAGTCCAAGAGAGTTTTTCCAGCAGTTTGTCAACCCCTTATTTCCTGGGGGAGGGGAGGGATATTTCAATGGGTCCTAACTCTTACCCCACGAACTTCCTAAGTATGTGTTCCCAGGCAAATGACCTCCTCTCCCAGAGCCTTGGGCTTCTTGTCACATAATAAAGATGTTATACCAGATGATTTCTTTCTAACTCTCCTTCCAGGGAGCTAGACATCCTTGAATGTCTAACATCCAAGGGAACATCAAACACCCTTGAATGAGAAGCAGCATAAAATTGCAGAAAGAGCATGAATCTTAGAGGAAATCTGAGCCCATTTCACATTATAGCTCTGCCACATATTACTTGTGCAACTCAATCTCTCTGATCTTCAGTTTCCTGTCTCTAAAAGTTGGTTAATATAACTGCTATATCAGCAGGGATGTACGCAGAGGACCTAACACAGAACTGTTACATAACAAAGAACCCATAGTATAGGCTCAATAAATACTAGTGTTCATCCCAGCACTAATATGTATGCCTTTTGTAGAGAATTGGCTGATCCTATAGGCAGAACAAAGACATAGAAACTTGTAGAACAGCTATGAGTCCCTGCTTTTTCATTTTCTTGTCGGAAACAGTCTCTTTTTTCACAGAATGGTCTGAGCTTTCTTGGCAATACCAGAGGCACGAAGACTGAGCTCTGAGAGGATGGTCAGACCCAGTAAATGAATCCTCTGCTCCTCTTCAGGCTAACACAGGGACCTAATTCTCATGGTCTGTTATCTCCCTCCCCACACACAGTTTCCAGGGAACTTCAAGAAAGACACCACAAGAAGAGAGATGAAGTTTCTATAGGAGAAGGAAGAAAAATGAATCACCATATCTTGATTTTTCCCTCCCTCCCACATATCTACAAAAGGCAAAGTACCTAAGTAGATTGGTGAAGGAGAGAAGAGAAGAGGGGGAGAGAAGGCAGCTCTAGGAGTTGTGAGATAGCAGTGATGCCCAACTGGATTTATTTATACTTTTAAGAGAGAAGACCAGGGACAAAAAAAAAAAAACAAAAAAATACAACGAAATGAGACGGTAAAGCAGCATGGCTGTGAATTTTTAAGCTTACAGTTAGCAAGGAGAAAAATAGCATTTTTGACACATTTTCTTTTCACACAGGGTTACAATATTAATTGTCTTAGCAGACTTACAATCAGCAGTTTCTTTTGCGGTGCACAGGTTAATGGAGTTGCTAGAGTGTCTCAGATATGAAATTGTTGCCTCATAATTACGCAGTTCTTCAAATTCAGCACTGAGAAGCAAGGAGAAAAAAGATTACTTAAAATAAATTATTTCTTTAAATATGTTTTTAAACATTTCGTATTTTTTTCCTCATTAGAGAAGTAATATAAGTACGTCTGGCCAATATGGTGACCTCAACAGATATGGAAGGTACAGCACCCCTCCTCCAAATACACAGGAATTCCGGATGAAATATAACAATGCAAAGAATTATACAAAGGACACATAACTCACCTAGAAATCAATAAGGTAAAAATCCCCGGGGAACCAGACACAGAGAGGAAACTCACAATTAAAGATGTAAGTGAGAATTGCAGCCGAGGGACTCAAAGAGAAATTGGGACCAGATAAAGAAAGATCTTAGTGAGTGGGCGGCTGGGGATTTAATATCTGAGTAGGAAGTTAAGTCTGAGCCCAGGCCTCCTCTAAATGGGAAGCTGGAACTGAACTATCAGCATAAAGTCCAGAGTCACGAAATCACGTCCCGTCTGTAAAAGAAATTCTAAAAAATCTCTGTGTGCTCTCCCTGGGAACGAGCAGGGAAGCTCGCTACCTGACTACGGCCACTGGAGCTAAAAGAGTCACCCCTGAGAAATCAGAAAGTTGAAAACCCAGCACCAAAGTACAGGTTGGGTTCTAAATGCATATGATCTGTGTATTTCAGAGAGACAAAGCCAAAACTGGTACTTGAAATCCAAACCCCCTTGTAAACCAAATCTGAAATCATTCTGCAAAGATGCTTCTGTAACTCACGGCACCGACGGTTTCCAAAGGAAAGAATTCCCACTCAAAACAAGCTTCTAATGAAGAGCTGCAAATTGCACATGGAGATGAGCCACCATAGTCAGTCAGAAGATACAACTAATGGGAGCATTAAATGATAGAATGACATGAAAGTGACATTAAAATAAGTATGTTTTAAGCATTCCAAGAAATAAAGTGAGGAAAGCCATTAGAAAAAAAAAGAGAGAGTGTGAGCAAAGAACATGTCAATTTGGGTATAAGAGAAAGAAGTTATAGAAATCATAAATATAGTTCTTGAACTAAAAACTTAAGGTAGGAGTTGAAAAGTACAATAGACACAGCAGAAGAGAGAATTGGTGAGTTAGATCTGAGGAAGCCACCTGGCATGTAGCACAGAGAGATTAAGAGATGTAAACTATTCCAAGAGAAGTTAACAGTAGGCACGATAGAATGAGCAAGTCCAATATATCTAGACTAGGGATTCTAAAAGGAAAAAAGAAAGAGGATGATGAAAAGAAGTCAAAATTCAAATGATAATAGCTAAGATTTTTCTAAAATTGGAAAGAGACATGAATCCTTCTATTGAAAAAGCTTCAATAATAAGAAATAAGGATAAATTTACAGTTATACAGTATGTAATAAATCAGCATAAGTCAAAGAAAAAAAGGAAAAAATGTAAAAGGTGTGCGAGAGAAAAGTCAGATTATCTCCTAAGGAACAGCAGTGAGACTGGCAATAGACTTCTCCTTAGCAACACTAGATGGTGGGGATTGCGGATAATATCTTAAAGCACTGAGCAAAGATATCCGTCAATATAAAATTCTGTTCCAGCTAAATTATCATCCAGCTAAATTTGTCATCATAAGGGTGAGGCCAAAGATGTTTTCAGAATACAAGTGCATGCACTTAATGCTCTCAGATCCTTGCTGAAATACAGCAAAGTGTACTAGTAATGAAGTAGGATTTAAGAAACAATAGTGGTCAAAGAAATTAATAAAGCTATTGGTAAACCTAAATAAATATTGACTGTAAAAATGATTAATTTGTAGAAGTTTAAGAATAAAATGGAATTAAAATATTAAATAATAATACAGAAGATAGTGAGAGAGGGCTACGGGAATTGTTCTCAGGTCTTTGTATCATTTAGGAGCAGGATAGAGATTTTGATTAACATTAGACTTAGTTAATTGTGGATGTCAGAATTTAACTGTAACCACTAAAAAGGATAGAAATAGTAGAATATTTAACTTCTCAACTGGTAGAAGGAGCATATGCAATAAGAAAGCTTAAATATTAAAAAAGATGGCAGAAATAGAGGAAAAATGCATATAAAGAAATTTCATAGTAAATTTAAAACATAAAATATAATGGGAAAAAATCCAAATAGATCAAGAAGCACAATATATGTACATAGATTAACCTATTCCAATAAAATAGAGAGTATCTGACTGGATATTTTAAAATCCAGCTAATGCTGCTAAAATGTACCAGACAAACCAAAGCTCCCATATAAATGAATGGAAAAAGAGATGCAAACCAAAACTAACAAAAGAAAGGTCTGGTAGGTATGTTAATATTAGACCATACTTTAGCAAAACTGATCAAGAAAATGAGAGAAGTTACACACACATGCATACACACACACACAAATTACAGATAAAATAGGGGACAAAACTAGAGATAGTCTTAGGTTTTCAGAAATCTAAGAAAATGTTATGATCAGCTCTCTGCCAATAAATTTGAAAATTTAGGGTAAATTGACAACTTTATAGAGAAATATAAAATTACCACAGTGACTGATAGGCCAATAAACCATTAAAAGACTTGAATCAATAGTACACACACCCTTTTTCTCCCCAACCCATTGCCACACTCAACCCACCTCTCTCTCTTTCCTTCACCAAATAGTTTTATAAGAAGTTTTAATGAACAGTTTGAAAGAATAGAAAAAGAAGAAAAGCTACCCTACTCATTTTAAGAGTATAGTATAATTTTGATATGAAATCCACAAAATGACCAAACAATAAAAGAAAAATATAGCCAATCTCACTTAAGAGATTTTAGCCCAAATAGTTAAGATACTGGAAAATGAATTAATCAGTAATAACTCAAGAACAACTAAAATTTATTCCAAGACTTCAAGGAGGGCTCAGCATCAGAAAATTTGTCATTGCAATCAATCACATTGAAACAATAAAAGAGAAAAAAAGGATTATTTTAATAGATGCAAAAAAGCATTCCACATGTACTCTCTTAACTAGATTAACCTCCAACAAATATCGTACTTAATGGCGAAGTGTAACAAATGAAGAATTAATATCTAAGCTACTGGGAACCCCTGCAATAGGAAAAAGACAAACTCATAGAAAATTGGATAAAGAGATATGACAGATCACAGAAGAGAAAAATTCAATAGTTTATAAAAGTAAATTCACCGTGGTCAACAGGGAAACGGAAATCAAGACAATGAGAATTTAGTCCACACCCATCAGTTTAGCAAGAATCTCAAAATGTGAAAACAATGTCTCATTTGGCAAGAATATGGAGAAACAGGAACTCTTTCACTGGTTTGAGAGTATGAATTGGCACACCCGTTTTGGAGGATAATTTTTTAATATCTAGTAAAACTGAAGCTGTTTATTTACTATTGTTTAGCAATTCTACTTCTAAGTAAAAACCTAGAGAAACTTGCTTATATTCACCTGGAAATATATGAGAATGATTACTGCAGCATCATCTGAAAAGGTGAAAATGTAAAACAACTTAAATGTTGCTCAGTAAGGGAACACATGAGCAGACTGTGATATGTTAGTACGATGAAATGCACACAACACTGCAATTATAGTGAATAAGCTAGAGTTACATGCATCAACTTAGAATATGAAAACACAGCTTTGAAAAAAAATCAAGTTGCAGAAGGATAAAGTAACCTGCCATTTATTCAAAAATGTAAAATACTGTATCTTTAACAGATGTATGCATTTGTAGCTACAGCATAAGAAATACACTAAATGGATACAGGCCTCTATTCATAGCAGGAGTTCCCCCTGGGAAGAGAGAAAGTGAAATAGGCCTGGGAGTGAAGGAAGGAGACTTCAGCCGTATCCACAACACACAGAAAATCACTACTTCGCACCTAATGTGGACAGTGGAGAGGAGAAAAATCCACCATGATCCTCCCACCTTGACATGAGTGAGGTCTTAGCATTCTGATATTCTTCCTGATTTTTTCCATTTTTAGGTGTATTCGTATAGTTGTTGTTATCGACAATGAAAAGGTTGGAGTTCTCTCCTTTCTTTTTTTCCCAACCCATTATTATATCATAAGCACATTCTACTCAATTGTTTTCCCTCCTTGTTTGACCATTTTGGATATTTGCAGGTTTTTTTTTTTTTAACATATTCTCTGTAATATTTTTAAAGATGTATGAATAGATCATTTTGCTGAAAAGGAAAAACTATGAACTCTAATGCATCAGTAATTTCTCCCCTCACTACTTTGTTCCCCTCTCCCTGCATGAAGTAATCGAGAGAAACTTTCTTAAATTATAGACTATGCCATGTGTCTCATGCTCCAATGGCCTAACAATCTCTGGTCTATGATAAATTAACTTTATTAATAAGAAACAAATTGTGAAAAAATTTAAAGAAGATGTCTAATCAATTTTTTGGACTACTTTTGTCAGAAATGAATAAATATCCGACTTTAGATGATCAGAAAGACTTTCAACCAAATGTTAAAAAGAAAAGAAAAGGTATCTTTCAGATCATTAACACTAAAAGAGAAAAAAGATATTGTAGATATATTTAAACCTCCTTTTTGCTACCTGAATGTCTTTCATCTTTTTCCTCATCCATTAAAACCAGATCTGAGATCTACCTGGATTAATGCAGTGTGGGTCAATATAAAGAACTTGGATCACAGGCAAGAAGTAAATCTATGATTTAAATATATTTATGCTTCAATTTCTTTGTTTCCACATTTATTAAAACATCTGTCTATAGTCTGTCTCCAGAACCGCAGACATTACTGGGAGATAGCACAGAATTACAGACATCCCGGGAGCTTGGGTCAGACAGATCTGAATTTGAATCCTAGCTCTTTTGCTTTCTAATTATAAACTATTGGATAAATACTTATAATCTACTTAATCCTCAGTCTCCTACTCTATAAAATAGTAATAATAAAATCTACTTTAAAGGCATATTATGGATATTGAATGAAATATTTGTCCCCTGCACATAGGCATTCCACAAAATGTGCTA